GGTGGGGGGGGGGCAGTTCCGGGGCTGGGAGGCAAGCTTAGACAAATATTGGGTGTTGGGGCTGGACCAACTGGAGGAGAGTAAAGGGCAGATGTGGGGCTTGGTGAGCAGGAGCAGACCTGGGAGGCACAAAGCGGAGGTCCGCCCTGCTCCCTTGGAGCTGCCCCGAGAAGGTGGTGGTGCCTCAGCCTGGGTAGGTGCCCTTGGAGAACAGAGCTGACCCTGCAGGTGAAAGGAATGATGGGACCCTGCACCCTGGCCAAGAACATGCCACTCATCTTCAGGGCCTGCAGATAGGGCTCAGAGCAGACAGAGATGTGCCATCCCTCTTGGGCTGGAGAGGGGTCCCATGTGGGGGCAGGGAGTGGAGCAGCGGGCCGAGTGGGCTCCCACTGGGCCAGTGGGTTGGGCTCAGGCCTCCTGGCCCGGTGGAGTCTAACAGGGTCCACAGCTACCACACCATGGAGAGAGGTGGCCACCCAGAGAGGCCCGGACCGTGCAGACGGGTGGAGCCCTGACCTGTGCCCAGCCACGGGCTGCACCTTCCCATTGGGTGTGCAAGCGCCTACATGTGCACAGACATCTCAAAGCAAGTCCCCAACGGTGCGCGTTGGCAGGAGGTCGATGGGGATGGCAAAGCCAAGAGAAGATATGTCTATGGAAGTTCAAGGGTGTGAGATTGCAAACCAGAGTTCTAGCATACAACCAAGGGTGTGACTGTGCCCTAACAGTGTGAACCGTGTGGGCATTCACAGGCTGCCCAGGGATTCCAGACACCGGTGACTTGGCAGTGGTGTGTTGGTGTGTATTTCTCGATCTTCCAAGATGATTTCTGGTCACTGTGGCCCTGTCCCCCGTGGTCACTCCTGGGGCACTACCCCTTCCCCCCGCCACCCACACACCACCCATCCCAGAGCCAAAAAGATTCATCTTTTTCCTTGTGATTTCTTCCATTGCTTGGAAACTTATAAACCACTTGGGAAGTTTAAGAAAAGCTAAGGAAGTTAACAAAAATGTATAAATGCTTTTCCAGAAGGTAAGAAAGACTGCAATGTTTCCTACTAGCTACTGTAGAATTTTATTACTTACTTATGTAAGTGTTAACTCTGTCATCTGCCTGGAGATAATTTAAATATAAATTTATAAATATAAAGTGTTAGCTAATTTCCTCACACCCCAAATTGCTGTCCCTCCAATTCATTATAATACTTGCTTTACCAAGTCTTACGTTTTTATATATAGTAGGCTCTTGTATATAATTGCTGCTTTGTGTTTTGTTCCAATGGTGCGTGTTTCTGATCTACTCTAGTAGCACGCTATTAAATTATTGTTCTTTTAGAACATGTTTTATGGAAGGCTTTATAGCATAATAGCTAAGATTATGGTCTTTGAAGTTGAACTCATTGGGATTTATATATAGGAACGTTGCCACTGAATAAATGTGTGACCTTGGGCAAGCTACCTCAGAATTCTTCAGCTGTAAAATGGAGTATTAGGAATTCTATAAATAACATCTTCCTCACACGTTCAGAACAAACTGAGAGATAGCTACAGGAATAAGTCACAGAGATAAAACATTAACCTTATTACTGAGGACTGCTGTCCACTGCCACAGCTTGATTCAACATTGTACTAGAGAGTCCAGCCTTTGCAATAAGGCAAGAAAAAGATATGAAAATATGATTAGAAAATCAAGCCAAAAAGCAAAGCCTCAGTGGGCACTCTGATCCTTCATCCCTGACTTAGATACACTTGAACCTGTGTCATAGGTAGTGCTGGACCCCCTGGGTCTTCCCTCCACCTGCTGGAAGAGCCTTCCCCCATCAAGTTACTACAGACCACAGTTGAAATACAAGTATCCTGATGAAAGAGGAACAAGAGAGGAGAGAGAGGCCAGGAACGTCCTCTTGGTGAAGTCCCTTCTCATAGAAATATGAGGTGGGGGTGGCAGTGGAGGCTCCCCCCATGACAACCTCACATGGGGTTGTAGTCAGCATGCATGTGAGGCACTCAGTACAGTGTCTGACACGTGGGTGCACAGCAAATACTGTTCTTATGCACAGGATCCTGTTCCCTTTCCTTCTCCTCTTGTTTTGAATTTCTTACAAAAAAAATGTCCCCCATGTATTTTTCCAGATGAAATACAGGGTCCATTGGTGGTGTTCTAAGAAAAAAATGCTTGTCCTTAATACCTGGCTCACCCCCCACCATTTCAGTACATGCTACATCAATGTATAAATGATCTCAGGGGTCGGGGAGGGCGGGGTGTGGGATTGGTTCAGGTACAGGACTGAGGTGGGCAGCAGGGAGAGGAAGGATGGGTGGGTGGAGAGGTTAGTGGGTTTGGGGAATGGGAGACCAGTGTGGAACCAGGTCCAGAGACTCAAAGACGGGGATTGTGAGTGAGCGGTGGAGGAAGCTCCCAAGAGCCAGGTGGGCTCTCAGCTGAGGAGAGCCAGGTGGGCAACCAGGGGTGATGATTGAGCATGGGAAGTGAAGACCAAAGCCAAGGGGGTGTAATCTTCTGGGAACTGAGAATGTGTACCGAAGTCCAGGTCCTGGTTCCAGGGTCCAGCTCTGCCGCTGGCCGCTGTCGCAAGCTGCAGACCCTCCCTGGGCCTCAGAGCCCCTTTATCAAGTGAGGATCCTCTCCATGCCACAGGGCTGCAAACCTGATTGAGGGGTGTCCCTCGGGCCCCCCAACCTATTCTTTCTCTCTCCAGACACCCAGGCCTGCTTCCTTTTCCTGTTACCTCCCTTGAGCCTTAATGTCCTCCTGGTCCCTGGAAAGGGGAAATGCTCAGTTACCGGGACTCTGTCCCTCCCCGCCCACCACTCTGGGTCCGTCAGTCCCCACTTCTGGGAAAACAGCCTTCCTTCACTTTGGCCCCACTGCCACCTTGGCTTTTCATGAATGCATTAGTTCAGCAGCCCGCAAATCCCCTCCTCTGAACCTGCCCTCTTCTTGTCCCTGGGGACACGTAGGGAAAAAAGCCAGGGACTCACCCACCTAGAGCTCTCTTTAGTTCATTCATTGCATTTGGGGGGCGGGAAGTGGCAGAGAGGGAGAGAGAGAATCTTAAGCAGGCTTCAGAGCCTGACGCAGGGCTTGATGTCACGATCTGTGAGATCATGACCTGAGCCGAAATCAAGAGTCGGATGCTGAACTGACTGAGTCACCCGGGCGCCCCCTGTCTCATTCATTACAAAAATGGTTTGGAGGGACTGCCGTGTGCCCGGAACAGGGAAAACAGTGGTGGGCGCCCAG